CAAACCATCGGAATTAATTGACGTCCCCCTTCCGCTTATTTATTTGGAGAGAAATCAAAATAATTCGCTTAATTCTGAGATGTCAATAGGAATTTGCGTTTTGAAGGCCTCCTGTTGCTCCATTTACACGTTCTAGGCATATGTCGATAACCGTCTCTCACTCTCGGATTGAATAGAACCTCGAGTCTTTGGAAAATCTGGTGAAAACCCTTTAACTCCCATGAGTAACCAAGACAGAATTTCTCCTTACAATATCAGAATATATATCAACCAGATAAGTGATGATCCAGTACTAAATTATCTGAACTAACATTATGAGAATTGTATGGTTGATAGTAAGGAGAGTTTCAGTTTGATCTGGGGGTTAAAGGGTTAAGTATTTTACCCATGAGTTCGAGGCTTTCGCTAATTCCAAAACAACTTTAGGGTCTGGGTAAGTGGCCTGGGCAAAAACTAAGTTTCTGCTATAACTGCAACAACAACATGATCAACAACAACAAAAACAATAATTACATCATCATCAATATCATTACAATACTGATTATTAAGTAAAAATGTTCATGATGGTAACGAGAGCACGCGAGGACGCCTAGCAACAGAAAAGAGGAGGCTGAGCTGTAAAGGAAAGCCTTTGGCCAAAGGACTGAAAAACATCATGATCAAGGGGAACATCGGGGTTAACAAAGTCTGAAATGCTAGCAGAAGACTTCCATGCATTTCCTTGAGAGGGCAAGGTTTCCAACCTGAACCAGTCTTGACGGAAAGGATAAGTATTTTGGCATTTATTTAGGAAAGGGTTTTTGAACACCAGGCGAACGATATGACTGACAAGGGCTGAAACTTTCGGACGGATTTATTTTCACTCTTAACTGTCAAGCACCTTCTCTCAGTTTCCATCTGAAAAAAAAGGAGAAAAAAAAACACTTCACTCATAAATTAAATTGAAATTGTTAGTCTTATAGGTTGGATAAATTTGCGTAAATTATCAAACACATTCAATTTTAATGGCGCCGTCTGAATCGGTCGTGTTTGACATGTTTTGAGCGGGAAGTAAAGCTAAGTTTTGAAAGGGATATCCTAGAATGGTGAAGATGAATATCTAGTTATCTCTTGTGATCAGCCTCAAAAATGATATCTAACCCACCGAATTAAAAAATATTTAGTATTCAGAAAGTACCGCGAAACTGTAAGTTTAGAATATCACTGAATCCTATACTACTTGAATGAATGCCTATTACGAAGCCATTTCAAGAGCGTTCAAAACTCTGCAGATGTAAAACAAATGCACATTAATTGGACAGACTCTACCTGTGCAAGTTTATTACAAAGTTTTATTAAAGGCGAAACCAGCGTTGCACATGCTGTTGAAATATTACTTCTGCACATGTTTTGTTGCGTTTTTTTACGGTGCGGTACAGCCTACAACCGCCTAAGATCACTTTAGGTCGGCACGAGTTGTAAGAAAAAGGGTTAGTTATCAGTGTATATATACATAGTATAAATATAGTTATCCTTTTATTTCTTTATGTACATTCAGCATTTGTGGTTCGTTTTAATTAAAGTGACGCTCAGGTATTAATTTAAATGAGCTGCGTCTTTTGATTTTCGAAAAAACCTCATCTAAATTCTCTTTTTTTCTTAGTTATACGTATTTGTTTAAAGAGGAACTTATCACAGTTTGTTTGTCACTGTATTTTAAATTTGAGAAATCGAGGAAATCTCTAAAATATTAATGGCTTCCAACAATGCAACAACGCTTTGAAAGAGCCAAAAATTAGCATGTCAAAACTGCATTTTTAATCTCCTCAGCACATCTGCAAATATCACATATTAAATCTTTCTCTTTTAAGACGTCATTTCTAAATTGATTTTTTGCAAATGCCGATAATGACAGTGAAACAAGATTACCCGAGCTTGTAAGGAGCCGCCGACAAAAAGTACGTCCAGACTCTCATTTGTATTACTTGAATTAACTTTTACGGCAGTAATTTTCGTCTCTCGTTGATTGCTGCAACATATATGCCTTATTTTTGTCACCGAGGCACTTATGTAATCAGTGCAACTGCTTAGAGAGTATTCAGTCGTCGGGGAACTGAAAATCAATTCTGGAATAATAATGATTTTAAAAAGGAATTGTTCGATACGGCGGGAACTTAAAAATGGCAGTTTCCTTAGTGAGAATTCTCTCTTACCCGTCTTTTTGCGGCAAAGTCTGTCGAATTCATGGGGAACTTAGCAACAGAACATTAAACTTAAAACATCCGCAGTTAAAATGATTAATTCAAATAAAGTCTGCAAATTTTACTCAGTCGATTTGAACTTTTCATTTAAACCAGAGATATCTTTCACGGCATTTTGGGCAAAAGACCATTGCGATGGTTTCCTTGAATGATATTTAAAGTGGTTTCTCGGTATAGCCGTTTCAGAAACGCACAGTGAAACGAAACATGGCTTCGTGTAACCTTAGGGGGACGTGCCAGAAATTATACCATGTACACTCAGATTTTAGTGTGGTTTCACCGACGGGACACTTAAAAAATTTTTTCGATTATGGGTGTGTTACACAGGACCTGTTGTTTCGCACATACGGAATATCGGTATATATGGGAATTAACAGGCCTCAGTGTATTAGGCTTGTGGTCTTAACAAAGCTAAACTTAATCCTGGAACACCTTAAAAGCAAACTTTTTAATTCATCCGGCGGAAGAGCAAAGAAATGAAACACTAAAGATTGGACGCCATAATTTCACCCCAGACTGCACAGTGACTGACATTTTTGCCTCAGCTGGAGTGTGTTTTTAAAGTTTCCGGTGTTCAATTTTCCAATTAACACTGTTTCACAATATATTCAAACCAGTGCGTTCTGATAACAGACAGCGCTAAGGCATTACGGATTTACCAAAGAATTGATGAATGCGACGGAGGTTTCAGTTTCGCGCACGTCTCACCAAACTTGTTCGGAACTGGTTGAGGAAATGTTTTCGTACATCAGCAGTAAATCAGATCTAAAACCATCTTTGGTAATTGTTGCGTTTTTGTCTAAGAGCAGAAAAAATCCTTGTTTCATCTTTGTCAACTTGACAAATTTCTACTTTATTTAACGCACTCAAGGTATCTCAAGATCCACTCTTAAAGATCGCTAAAAACCGAGACCGGTTTTTGGAGTCAACAAGGCAGAGCCTTATTTGGTAGATCGTTCGCTCTTTCTCTTCAAACGAAGCTTTTAATTTTCCAGCAACCCTTCCCAATTAAGTGTAATTACAGGCGCTAAAATATTCACTGAATTTAAAGCATTGCACTAATTTTTCCCTTTCTCCAGGGCTTTTTAAAGAGCGTTCTAAGTTTATCACTGTTTTCGAACAGTTCATCAATCAATTCCCCATCACAGAACACACTTCACTGCGGAAAAAAATAAAATGAACCGGACGACCTCATTTTCAATGTATTTGCTTTCGACAAACAGAAAAATAAAACAAATTGCAGGGCGCAATATTGTTTTGGCCGATCGAAAACTCATTACATTTAAAAGACTAACAGTCTGTGGAAATAGTGGATTTGCGCGTCGCTTGCTTCGAGCAGACACCATGGCTTTCATAATTCCTTTCACTTTCTTACAAGGCTGTTTTCTTTTCGACGATAGGTTACGTTTCGAACTAAATTTTGATCAGCTTAAAAAATTTCAGCGCATACTGTACATGACCTACCAGGGTTTCTGTAGTATCGCTTGAGATTTTATCAGTGATGGGATCGGATATAACGATCTTTTGCGTATAAGCTATATATGGACGCATTACCTCAGTCTTATCTATCCTTGCCAGTCAAAAGAAGATGGTTATTTATCTCTTGGCCTATCCACAGCTCGTAGCCAAAACTAATTGAAAACCCCGGTTGGCTTTTTAAAATAAATATCATCTTCAAAACTACAACGTTTGGCAAGTCCGCAGGCTAAGTTTTTAAAGTTTCCCGATTCGAAGAGATGACGATTTCGTGCAGGTATCTTCTGTGAAGGAAATGGATGAGAACTCAACAATTCACGCTACAGTCGTGAGAGAAATTTTTTTATTGGTATTTTCAAAACACTGACGCTTGTTTTTGTGACCATATGTGGGGGAACATAAAAATTAATAGCCTTTTCGTATAATTACTACCTGAGTGCGAAACTAAAACTGTTTTGGACATAAATTGTCTGACAATTAGCTTTTGTGAAACAACATATCCAAAGTTGTCAATTTCGTAGTCCTTGCTACTTGGAATGGTTTCCGGCCAACAGTAAAATGACTGACATATAAAAGATATTAAACCCTTTTTGCGAAATGATTCTCTCTTGGTTTCGAGAGAGTTTTCCATTGATCTTGAACGGTGCGTTTTCTTTTTGTAAAATTTCACTTTAGCATGTTTCCAAACGGATGTTTAAATAGTTGGTATCTCAGACGAGTGACAGAATTGCAAACACAGCTGAGAAGTTGCTTTTAATTAATTGCTCTGCGCCTGCGGAGTTGCTTTTCAAGCTGCTAAGCGTCACGGCGCTGTTTTTGAGAACATTTTTTAAAGAGGAAATTCTCGTTCCTGTAATTTTCATTTAGACGTACGTGTAGAAAGGACACCGGAAAACCTATTTACGAGGAAAAGTGTCTTTCCAATGACCTTCAAACCACAGAACTTGGGCCGGTGAAACAAAGGGGGCGGGCTCACAACAGGCTGTCTATCATGCCTGAGGGAAAACCATTTTTGTTCTCTGGGGAGAGGGTATGTTAATTTAAAGATTGAGTATCGGAATGCATTATAAATATAAATTGCATTGTACAGAAAATGATATTTTACATTTTATAGTCTGTAAAGCGTTTTAAGTGATTAGTTGATAAACAATATCAGACTATATGGTACAAAAAATAAGCAGCCAAATGTTTCACGCTACCTCCCCTCCCCTAAAGTATTTTAATAGCACCTTGCTGATATTGTTAACTGTACTCGGCTCAGTTCACTCACTTTCTACTCGTTGACTTCGCTCGGTATACTCCAGCACAGCTGACCAGAATCAAGGAGTTTGGGACGCCTTTCTCGACCGCACAAGAGGCTTGAGGGCTTATAATGTAACAGAGGAGGTGAAAATGAAAGATGAGGAAGTTAAGAAAGCGACACAGAGCGACGACGAGGGGAAAGCAGCCGAGAACGGCGAACTAGTGCGAATGGATGGTGACGATTCGCACGCGGCCATAGTCAACTCAAATGGCAAAAGCCGAAATAAAGCGAATCGCAAGCGGCGAGGTTCTACTTCTCCTGAGGAGGACATTATTGACGGATTTGCCATCTCTTCTTATTCGTCGCTGGAAGCGTTGGAGGTAGGTAGAAATAATAACTATTTGCGGCCTTCTTTATCAAACTATTAACAGTAACAGGTCGATCAACGGGCTCTCTGTGCGTCTTGGTGTCACAAACACTCGAATTTGCCAAACTAAAACCGACTCAGTCGAGCGGCATTTGTACGGTCGCATGCAAACCAGACGTTTTTATCCGTGATAGATGTGATTGATACCATTCGTTGTTTTGAAAATATTCGTCCTTTAGCCATTTTGTGTACAGAGGGCGGCCAAAGCGGAGATCGTACAATGTTTACTTTTCGCAACAATTCACTCGAGCTTCAGCTTCAAGAACTTCCTACTACCATAAATGTCAAATTTTCAATTGATCGCTAATACCGAGGTAAAGCTACGTTCCGTCTAAGTCTAAGGAAGGGCAAATAAATGAGAGATTTGAACGTAATCGTTGAAAATGCGCCGAATTCAGAGTGCGCGAAACGCTTGTCTTTCAACGAGCCCATTCGGTCTTCGTGCCGATTTTGAGAGGTGGTTCTTGGAGAGATTTTCAAGGAGATATCAACGCTAAATATATAAAAGCCACGCATGAACAATTTCTTATGTGTTGTAGTCTACTAGGTATCATTGTTACTAAGTGATATACTTGGGCTTGTAATTTAGCAAGTAAACCTCGAGCAGACCACAAATGATTTTCGATTGCCCGTGCGGGCCATTTTCGCGTGTTGAGAATGAAATAGTGCTCAAAGTTTGGCCCGTTATCTTCTAAAACTGCGATAGATTCTTTCTTTTAGTCTACATGTGTTCATTCCTTCCGGCATTCTCTATAAAGACACGAAACCCGTGTATCTTGCGTTTAGCTTTCAAGCTGGGAGAAGCTAACGGGTCTGTGTGTTTTGACCACATTTCGTGGTCAAGAGTAAACCTGATAATTCGTCAAGGAACGCCAATGTTTTAATGCAGACAGTTATGCGATAAATCTATTCATTCGGTTCCTCGTGTGAAAAGTGGCTTTCGAATACTCGTTTAAATTTCAGTATTGTGGCCAAACATCTTGCCTTTTAAGCAGTATTAAATATTCAGCGATTAAACTGCAACGATCACAGCCAAACTCTTTCAGATGATTGGATTAAGTTATTAACAAACATTCCACCCTTGTTAGTTGAGTTGGGTTTTGTCAGATTCAACGGCGTAGTCATATAGTTTTTACGTACGAATTTCCTTTTTTCATGGCTTTTTGCCAGACTCTAAACGAAAGGTCATTTTTAAAGTGTGATCCACACATCGAATAACACAAAGCGAATAATATTCCCAAGGGCAGCGTAAGGACATTACATTAAAAATTTTTCACGTCGTTCTCACTTATCCACCAACACTTCTACGGGTATATCGCATTAATGAGAAAAGAAAAAAAAAAGGAAAAGGGAAAGAAATGCAAGTTTATCCTAACTCAGATGCCTTTGAATATTTATTCCTTCGTAATGTTTCGGTAGTGTTTGTTTAAAGAGCTCGTGATAAACAGAAGAAATTTTATTAATGGTTTGCTGATTCGAACTGCAAATCTCGTTCACTGCGTTTTCTCTTGTTAAACCAGCTTTGTTTAGTTTTGTACCTTTTTACCACTCGTGTGTGTTTTAGTGTCCCCGAGGACTTTCCTTGTTTGTAGAAAGAACAATATCCCCAGGTTCCAGACCAATATATCTGTCTTTCTATTGAGAGACCTTGAGTGTTGGCTTAGAAGAACTTATCTTGAATAGAATTGGACCACTCTCTGTTTCTGTGGCAATCAATTGTGCTATAAAACATGCGAACTGGATCGATGAAGCATTGTGATTTAACAGATAATGCATCTGTGCAATTGACATGAAAGTAACAATTTTGCAACACACTTTCTTTTTATTTTTTTAAAAAGTGCTGTGTGCCAGGCTGTTTTTAAGACATTAGTGCTCAATATATTTCTGAGTCTTAACAAAAATTAGATACACTATCACTTTAAGTGTCTTGATAAGTGCAAACTTTCAGTTTTACTTCGTATTTTGGACTCTGCTATTAATAACTAGCTGTAAAAACTTAGTCTGTATTCTCAACAGTCCATTGTGATGACATACATTAGCAGTGTAAAATACTTGCTATCCACAGCTTCTCCTGAGGTACTAATTTTGCAAGAAAAATTATTTTAAATCATCGAGTGAAATAGTCACTGTGCATGGAGTTCAATAACGGTTTGGTTTGTTTAAATTTTTGCTTTCTCCATTGTGTGGGTTTTTAAGATACTAGATAGCCTATGGATTTGCCTGAATCTTTGTGTTATTCAATATTAATTAACTTCAAATGTCTTAAGAATTCTCTCCTCTGTTTACTAGCAGGTAGATTCTCATTTGTAGTAATTGAAAGTGACAAAAATTTGCACCAGGCTATTAATATTTTTCATTTTTGAGTATAATGAATTTAAGGAGCTCACAGACAAATATATCCTGTACATCTTTGGGTCAATAACTGTAACATTATGAATTATGACTTTGTTGTGATATAGCAGCTTGGTGTCTGATTGAAACTGTTCAATTTAAGATCAGAAATAATTTGTCAATTTTCAGTGGCTGCAAGTAACCATAAGGTATTAAAGCTAAGTAAAAGCTAAACTATCGTGAGATAGTTTATTTAAATATCATTTCATATTTTCCTGCAGTCCAAGGGACCCAGCAAACCCGAGCTACTTGTTGATGGACGCCGATCTCACAAAAGCTCCAAGCGAAGTATGGAAAATGGAATAAATGGGAAGAAAAGAAAGTCTGAAAAACGTAGATCCAGGGTATGTCCCCTTGTAAAGCTGTTATTACTTTACTTGTCAAATTTTTTTTTCCAGAAGTTCATATATAGTTTAGTTGTAGCAAAGTGTTATGTGGCTGTGTAAGATTTTGAAGGTAAAGTGGTGGGGAAAAACTGATGAGAATTATTATGACTGTGGGAAATAAATATGTTCTTGGACAGCTGTCTTTCTTGATGGAAATATCATGCTAGGCTCGTCGTGCCAAATAATCAAAGAACCTTGAGTAATTAAACCAGTTAGGACTAAAATTAGTCATGCATATTTATGGCTGTCTTTCTTGTCGGTTAAGGGGGAGGTTATTTTATTTTGATAACATCAGGTAAAGTGGTATGTCTTTCTGTTTGTCTGGTTGCAAACTTCAGGTGTTCCAAGATGTAAATTTGTGTGTTATTTGTAACTCTGTTTTTTGTTCCTGTTTCAAAAAATCTGTTGTCATTCCAATTAACAGCTGAAACCACAGAAAGTTATACAATGTGGGATGCCAATTACTCTGTTTACCTTTTTGTTTGAATTCAATTTCAAGTACAGCTAGACCTCTGGCAAACATCTACATGTGAGGAAAGAATTTTTCGAGTTGATATATTTTTCTCTGTCATTGAGTGTGTTATATGTACAGGGTAGGTGAATGATATAAAAGAATTGTCTTATCTATTGCAAAGATGTGACAATTTGATAAAATTCTATACTTTCATGTTGGGATTTAAGCAGCTGAAAAGGTAATTCCTATCCAAGAGTTTCAAGTTTCATCAGTTAAGAAGGGCAGTTGTTTATTTTCTTAAGCCATAGCTGATTCAAGTCTTTCCACACTGGAATGCTTATCATTCAGATTAAGCTTTTAACAAACATCTTCACCTCTTACTGCTGATGATAACAGTCATTGACCAAAGCAAAGCATAATGTCACGGTAAAGCCAAACTCTGACAAATTATTATTATTGTGCACACTGGAATATTCTTGTAGAGGTGGGAAGTTGCTGTCTTGTTAATAATGTATAGTTTGACCTAGCTTTTGTTTCATTTGATCACAATGGACGCCTAAACATCTTCCCACATAAATTTAGTGACCACAAATTAAAAGAGTTTGAGACCAAGTTAGGTGGAATCTGTGTGCTAGATCTTACTGGTGTGCAATGAAGTAGGTCAATTTTTATTTATATCACTGTTAGGTTGTTTTTGTGAAAGCATGACTAAGTTAATCTGCAATATGAAGCTTGTTTCCTTTACATCTGTACCTCTTCAAATAGACTTCTTGTTTTGTATTTTGTTCTTTAGTTTTGTCTTGGTTCCAACCAACCCTCTACTAACAGCTAGCTTCATAGGCACACTTTCCACAATTAAAAGTAAAAAATGTTTTGGTACAAGTTAAATTGATCTTTGGATTAACCTCTTAATCCAGGATTAATGGTAGTTAATCCTGGTTATTTTTAACTGAAAGCTTGGTCCACATCTTTTCATGATTTGCAAGATCTTAATTGGGAATTTTTGCCTCTTACTATATCACAAACAAAGCAACATAGTACCTTTTAATTAATGCAGCAAGCTTGCAAATTTATTTCCTCCTTCCTCCCTGCATTAGTCTAAACAGTACATGTGTATGTGGTGATATTCTATGATCCAAAATTGTTAACTACATGTAGAAACTTTGAAGTATCAAATTTAATGGAAAAGAATGAATCAGAGAATTGGTAGTAGTGTGGCAAATTGACTTGAAGGGAGGATGACTCTCAAGAGTGGTAGCCATAACAGTACTTGTACAGTATGTCATCAGACTTTTGTCATTTGATGTTTTGATCATGTGACACAGACAATGACTTTGAGTGCACAATGAAGCAATGGTCAGGCTTTTTGAAGGGTCAATTATTCTCAGTGGTATATATGTAAAATTAAGAACTATATCTTGAGAAATATGAGAAGCTGGTTTCATTTCATAAGCAATTGAAGCTTGTCACAGTTGGAAGTGATTTCATCATGTGGCCATTCTAGATCATGGTCCTTTATTTACTTCCTTGTCCTAGGAAAAAAATCTTGCTTTTGGACACTCTGTACTTTTACAAATTTTCAGTAGTTGATGGGGAATCAGAACTCTAAATTGGAACTAGCAGGGTCGGAAATCTTTGAGAAGGACTCAGATCACTCTTTTCCCTATGCTCTTTGCAGTTATGTAAAATCTTTCATAAATAACCCTCTTTGTCTTTGACTTGAATGTCAGTGGCATGTAAGATCCAAGCTGTTATTGAAATGTAAGATGACAGGTTGTCAGGTGAACAACTTTGTTGGCAACTAAAGTAAGGTTATGCTTTTCCCTGCCTTGTGTTGCTTGCATTATCAGCATAGAAGCAATCTAAATTAGGAGGACAAACACTTATGATTTCCTTAGCAGCATTATCTTGTATTTTGTTTGTTCTTGTACTTTGAATGTTGGAAGCATAATCAATTTGCTCGGTGGCCAGTACATGCAGATTGTGTTAGAGGGACAAAAACTCAAATTTGTTCTAGCAAAAACCAATTTTGAACAATCTGTTGCATTTCAAACTATGCTACATGTAAATAGAAAAGTCATCAGAAGTAGTTGGTTGTTTTGTCATCTTTGGCTCATAAATATGTGGATTGTCAAAAGAGAATAGTGGCCAACCACTCAACTGGTTACGCCCAAACACCAGTATCCAGATTGTCCTTAATCTCCTCTGTATATTTCCTCTGGTACTGACAAGGAGAACTCATTCCAGAATCAAAGCTTCTTAAGTTGGCAATCATTTGCTTTGTTCTGCTGATCTTAATAAATGATTCAGCAGTAGTGCTTTGTAGCGCTCAGTAGTGCCACAGTTTATATGTATCTAGTACTATGGCTAACTTTTTTGGACCTATTAACTCCACTGATTGTTGATCTTAAATCGACTCACTGATATGTGTAACTTTTTTATTGATCAGATGCATCATGATCCTAAACCTAAAGACACAGATTCAGAGGATGAAGCAGGTGTAGAGAGGAAGAAACCTGAGGGTTCTTGGTTCCCTCCCAAGCGAGAAAAAGGATCAAACACTAGTGACGTGAGTAGTACAATGATATTTTCCATAGTTAAATCTTTTTTTTTGTGTGTCTTAAGCCTATGCCTTGCTTGTTGAAGAGTTTGGAGAGCAATAATTGCATTGGAAAAAAATTTCATATGACTTTATCTGTAACTCTGAATGGAGTGGAAACTTAAAAGTATTGGATGTATAAATGAAAAATGTCTTAAGTTCAAAGAGGAAGGGTGGGTAAATAATTTATGACATATTTCTACGAGACAAGTCCTCCTGAGAGGGACAGGAAGAGAAAGGGTTTGTGTGGCAACATGGTTTGAGTGGACATAGAAGTCAAATAAGCAGTGGTCAGGAGTTGTATGACTAAAGTTACTGTAAATTGAGAGGAGTCATTGATTAACTGTGCCAGGTGTATTATTTATTTACTGTCACTCTAAAAGTAAACTTTTCACTTTATTTGAAAGTTTCTGGCATGATTGAGTTTACTGTGTACCTATTCATATTTGGATATGGATACAACCTTTGATTCTTGCCATAAATACTGTCATATTTTCTATTCAAGCACCAGCATATTGTCGCAAGCTATGTTCTACAGGGTATTTGGTAGTCAGATTATACATGACTAACAATCAGTCATAAATGCTTGAAGGAATATCAATTCGCATTTCACAGAACAGGTTATGAAGTTCAACTGGATTTCATACGTAGTTTCCTTTGGGCCAACTGAATTTTCTCTCATGGAACATTGTCTTAAACTTGTTAAGCATATGAATTTTTTCTGATCTTTTATTGATCTTTCGACAGGACAATTCAGACTCTGCAAGTTCAGACAAAGGTTACTGGGTATGTTTTGTTCAGTTGAATCATTTTTGTTTACTTTTCTGCTGTGCATGTGTTTCTAAAGGCTAGTGTACAGCTGAAACATCAGCATGCATAGTCCTTTATGATTTCCTTTCAGAGTTACTTTTATGATTCAAATTTGTCAACTTGTAACTTTTTTTATTTTCTCTTCATTTTCAGTGTGATACTGAGAGTGAGGGGGAAAGGGTAAGAATCATCTTTAAATGTCAATTTTGGTAGAGGCAAACTGCAGTTGAGTCAAGGCAGTGAATTCAGTTTTCAGCCATTGTGTATGTAAATTTTCAGAACAGCAAAAATGCCTGAAGGTAATTTGATTAACACAAAGGTACCAATGAAAGCTGGTTACTAAACTGCTTTAGCCACTTATGTTAGACCTCCTACAGCTTTTTGTAATGATTTTATCTATGATATTTGAATGGCCCATTTCATGGAAACAGCTAACAATTCCATTAATGGCAGACTCTTGTTAAAAATGTTCTTGAGATCGCTGTTGACAGCAACAAGGAGGGAGAGTGTGTTATGACTTACATACTGATGATCCAGGGCTTGACATATTTACTTTGAATTACAATTGTCCCTCTCTCAGTCAACCATCTTGTTTTTTAATTTGCCTACTTGTCAGCTGCTGCACTTTTCCAAGCTAGCCATACTTCCCATTAAATTAAATGTACCAGACTCTCTAGAAAGCTCCCACCCTTGTATGAAACCAAAAATGTAAAGTTATCACCAACTTGGTAATAATTTTAGTCCTAGGTTTAATTCTCTGACCCAGTCCTGTATAATACCATGAAGTGGCATGGTTTTTCCTTAGTAGACATTATACTTTTTAAATTTTTACAAAATTAGTGTGAAACTCAATATACCATGTTATGTTTTATTTTGGGAAATCCAGTTTTTCAGTTGATTAAGTTACTTGTTTCATGTTGACACAATATTTTCATGAAATGTTTTGCTTTACCACATAAATAATTTTTTACCCACTGACCCAAAAGTGTGTCTCTCCTCTAGTGCAATGAAATCGTGACACCCTAGGTAGCAAGAAAATTTCACCTTTGTATATTTGTTGTAAATAAGCTCAAATGACAGAGTGCTCTTTTGCATTTTAGATCTCTGATAATGAATCCACAACTACTTCATCTGCTCCAAACAGTAAGTGGTTAAATATATTCTAACAAAATTGTGAGTTTTATTTAGTAAATTAAGTCAGACAACAGGCCTGTGTGGAATGTTGCAACTTTATTACAGCAGGCTTGTATTTTAGTAGCAACTTTCTATTCCCCCACATTCCTGACCACCTTTGTTGGGGTTGTTTTCAAGTGCCCCACACCTCCCCCCCAGCCCCTCACCTCACCCCTTCCTATAGGTGCTGGGGTTGGGGTTGGTTGCTGGGTTGTGGGGATTTGCCAGCCATGTGGGTGGTTTTCTGTCTTGGGGTCTCTCTTGGTCACAGTGGAAGTCCCTGGATACCCTGACACCCACCTGTTCCTCATAGTGGAGGCAGCAGTTAATTTATGGGAAAGTTCTGTTAATCTGAGCTTCAGATTATATTTAGTCCATGATACTTATGACTGTCAATTAGGATTTGATGTGTGACCCATGTCACGTCTAGAAATGCTTACTTCTCTCCACAGTATTCATGCATTGTCAACTGGGCTGATGATGGGAATGAAGTAAAATTACCAGTTAATGTGTGTTTTGTGATAGAAGCCTGAATTCTTTTCACTAGCCTAACCCATGGCAACTAGACGGGAGAACTACTTGAGTCTTTTTATTTGGGGGGGTTAGCCACAAATTTGCCACAGTTTCGTTCAGTACTGCCAACATTTGAAATGTTATTTTCCTAAAGGTTCATTGTTGAGTGTGAAGACAACAGTTTCTACTACCAAACCGAGCAGTACTGAAATGACAGATAAAGAGGTGGAGAAGAGTGTACCAAAACCATCAGAGTGGACAAGGTTAGTTAGTGATGACCCCTTTAACCCCTAAGAGGGACCAGCATCTAATTTCTCCCTACAATAGCACCCTAAATCAAACATTAAGGTTATGAGAATACAGGAAAAAGTCATTAAGTAAAGATGCTGTAGGATGTTATATGAATCCTCCTTGTCAGCGCATTAGGAAATTTAAAGAGAACATTATGGAGAATATGCATGCTCATGTTAGGGTGTAAAGAATTAAGGCATGTTTTAACGTAATACTTATGTACTCTTAAGCTGCTGTAACATCACAATTATAATTGTATTTTATAAATATCTTAGTTGTTCAGTTATTTATGTATTTGTATATGTGATTGCTTATTTTCTGCGTCACCAATTAGCTTTCGTTTAATCGTTTAACTCCCAAGATCCAAATAGTAATTTTTCTCACCGACTGTCATGCATTTTCTTTTCAATTAGACCAGAAAATTTTTTGTTATGTCAGGGTTGTCTTTTCTTATAACCAATTTGTAAGATATTTCAGGCAGTACTGTTTAACATTGGAGAGGCACTGAGATATTTTTCCTGAGACACAGCCTAAGCTTTATAAATCAGTTAGCTGAACAAGAGACATATTGATTTTTCACTCATCAACGAAGTTTTACCCTCCTACTGCTCAACTGCCCTGTCTGTTCATGTTTCAGTTCCACGTCTTCTTCCTTTTCAACTGTAACAACCCAACGTCCCAGCAGCCATGGTTCGAGTTGTGCTTCCACAAGCTTACATCTGGCACTGACGACCACCACCACCATGAGTCACCCCATGACCCCCACCTTTGGACACGCCCATCATGGCAGCTTGTTCCCCCACTTTCCGTCCTTCCATCCCCACCCCGGCGCCATAGGATATCCTCATGGACCACCGCCTGGCGAGTCACCTTTTCCGTATCCAAGTAATGCACCAGGATTCAGACACGGGCTCCACATGACCTCACACCACCCCCCTCCTTTATTCAAGGAAGAGCATTTGGACCACAGGGGGTGGGGTTAGGCGTGGAAGCTAGTGCTGAGTCATGCACTTTAGTTTAGAAGTTTATACTGCACCTTTAAGCTGCACTAGTCAAGTTACGTGTTTGGTTCATTCAGTTCGTAATGTGTGGCTAGGAAGTTAGCGAGAGCAACGATACGAAAATTCAGAATTAGTTGAGGGTAGTGGATAGGAAATCTAGGGTATGCATGCATGTCCGCCAAGACGCTAACGACTTATGAATTGAAAGAACCCAAACTGGTTTGACATGTGCTTGTAGCACATTGATGAGATACTGAACCCTTCGTGGAATTGAATAGCACTTGTCTGTGCATATTATTTCCGTTCTTTTCAATCATCTTCTAGAGCGCAGGCCAAAAAAAAATCGCCGCGGTAGATTTTCAGAACGCGAATTTAGAGGGGTGATGAAGGAGAAGAGGAAACGCACCGTGGTTGGACTCGCTCTCCGCGCTCGATCACGCTCCGCGCTTGGTCACGCACGCTCGCTTCGTGTTTCCTCTCTAAAGTATGGAAAATAACATGTGTGGACATACTAGAATGTTCCTCTCCCGGCCATCAAATGTTTGCTATTGCTGTTTTTTTGTGTCAGTTATACCAATTCGTGCTTCAGGGAAGAATTAGATGACAGTTCGATATGTTATCGATGTGGAATCAAGACAGTTGGAACTTTTGTGTTCTCGTTTAGAGGAGAGTTTAGGCGACATCTGTCAGATTAGTGAAGCTTAGTCATGTCTTGTTTTAACTTTTGTCAATCCTCTGCATCCCAAATAATTTTCCTGCCTTTTTCGTTACTATGAAGTCTTAAATGTTTTTCCCTCTCCAAAAAGAACTAAAAAACTTGCTTATGCGTCAGCTGTTTGTTCATTTAGACGTGATGCAGGTGGTAATTTTGGAAACAACGAAAATACGTAAGAGTTGCTCGAGGCGTAGCCGCTGGCATGTCTAGAATTTCGAGTGCTCTTCAAACTTCCCAAGTGCTCTTAGATCTCTATGAGCAAACAGCTGACCTGAGAACTAAGTGTTCCAGACCTTTTCAACGCCGTTTTTTAAATGTTGTCCAACGAGACATTTCCTCTCCCACGCTTCAACACGTTCACGCTCTTCATAAGTGTGCACAATGGGAATATGAACCCACGCATATTAATTTGTTGAACACGAATATCTTAACTTTGTCGTAAGTATGTTTGGTGGACTCCTTCAAGTGGAACGGGCATTTCGTAGGCCGCAAAAGTAATTTTAAAGATTAAGAATAAAAGCAAACAAAAAATGGTGAAAAAAAAAATGATGAGAAAAGATTAAAAAAACCAAAAAAAAACCAGTAATTCAACAGACAGCTTGTTTGGGCTCCATAAGGCACATTACGGATTTATCTAGTGGCGTCCTCAAATGTATCTGCTAAAGTTAACAATCTCCTCCTTGCAGGTCCTGAATTTCTCCGTCACGAGCTTAACAACCGTTTCCTGCAGTCACAAGCAGCCGACAGGGTCCCTCCCGGGATGAGTCCGTCTCAGCTCATGCATTACGAGTCTCATCAACACCATCACCAACATCTCCATCAGCACCAGCATCAACATCAGCATTTCCATAGCAACGGTGCGCCGGTGGCAACCCCACAGGTATCCCAATCTGGTTTGAATCCTGCTGTACGTGTTGAGTAGATGGGCCATTGATATTTTTTTAAGCGTATTATTTGTCCACGTTTCGTTTGCCGTATGAAAAATTTGAGGTTGGTGAGAGAAAGGGTTGGACTTGGTCGGAAAGGGAGGGGGGGAGGGTTGTCAGTTACCAACTTTTAAAAAAAGTGTAATGTCATTTCACTCATACGTGGCTGCAAGGCTTTCGCTGATTCACATTAAATTACAATATATATGGTGCCTCCCTATCCTATCTTCCGTGCTCCAAAAACTCTAGGGACTTCAAGAAAACCACGACGGCGACGACAACGAGAACGTAAGAAGACAAAAGAGCTAATGAGCAAAACAATAGCGAAATACGGCGTTTTAAAACTTTGTACAATTCTTAGCCGTCCCATACAGAATAAGAACGCGAAATCTTCAACTTTTACGTTCCCCTAGCAGGGAAACCTCGACAGCGATTTAGTCACAGTTTTACTTTGAACTCGACATACATTTGCATTGTATGCCGAAGTGAAGATTTTTTACCGTCAGAAAAGGTTAACGCATCAAGCTATCGGCGAAAATATTAGAGGAAACGTTTCACCCCACGTCGCCGTAGCGAAAACTTAAACTCCCTACTAAAGAACGTAAGCACGGACGTTTTGACGAGAGGCGACGGGAGGGTGAATGGAAATAGCGTGGGCGCTCCTTGACCGCTATCAACAATTAGCAGGCGTTTCTGAGAGGCGCAGAGTAGGAGGAAATTGAGATAGTGATAAGAAGAGAGGGTGACCCGATTTGAGGGATTAAGGTCTTTTTCATTGAAAGTTGAAGGCAGTTAATCCTTAGTAACCGTGCGTGCCTCTGAAATGCCTGTGCTTACCCCAGATCGATGAATTTGGCCTGTGATGCTGGTGAGATTTCTCGTGGGAGTGCTTTTTCCGGTCGGCTTTGTCACTCGAAGGGCTCAATTGAGATCTCTGCCGCTGAATTGAGAAACCCTTCAGCTGAGCATGCTACTAAATATACTTTTCAGTGGCGAGCAGGGAGTAATTGTCATCAAGGTTGATGCATTTTCACTCGGGGTCTCTACAGGTTTTGGTTAATCTGGAAAGTCTTGGAATGAATCATATCATTTTCCAAGCTTGGAAAGTAATGAAATGCAGAACGACCCATAATCTCTTTTCATCTTCTTTTGATATTCGCCGTTCACAACCATAGGGCAAAGAACACATAAAAAAGATACTTGGAAATGCCTGGGAATTGTATGATTTTGAAAGAGTTCCAACCCTATGGCAGAGAAGGCTATTGGGGTTGGATTCTCCTCATATAGTTGGAGTGTTTTTTTTCCTTCCATGTGGCTGTGTACTTTAAGTATGCTATGTTTTTGTGTTTTTCCCAGCTTGGAATCCCTCCTGTTGGCTCATACAGCCCAGTACCTCCCCCTCTTATACCAAAGGTACTGTTTTTTCCTGTTATGTTTATTGAGGACGTATTTCTCACGACTCTAAATCTTTTCTGTAAAATGAGCGGGAAAATTCGCATTCATTAATTTCCTCTTCGCTATGATCAGTTTTTACTAGACTAGTCATCGAACTGAAAATTTAATAGGATCGACGACTTTATAGATGCGAATTCTTTCTTGATTTGTTTGCCTTGCAAGTCGTTTGAAAACCGTTCCTGAGAAAACATTTTGGGGAAGGCATAACCCGCTTGAACGTTTGCTTTGGACCTCATGGGAAACCTTGTTATCTCCGTTCCTCTTGTTGTTGTCGTTATTATTATTATTATTAGTAGTAGTAGTATTGCTATAATTATTTTAAATTTTCTTTTTAGATTGAAGTTCTTAATGATGACGTTTTCTATAATTGTTGTGGTTGATAGTTTCCATGATTGATCCGAGTTTGTTTGTTTGTTTACTTTTTTTGTCTTTTCCAACGTGTACACAGAAACCTGGGAAATGGTGTGCAGCACATGTTCAGACAGCATGGCAAATTTACTATCATCAGCAGAAGGTAAGACACCATTGAGCTTCGATGCGAAGCGATGGAGCAGGCAACAACTTGGGTCAAATCAATGACTTAAAAGGCACAAAAAGCCCTAGTGTCTTGACAAATGTTCTCCATCCTTGAATTTATACATCACGAATCAGATTACCAATCGAGGCGAATGGTTGAATTTGGGCGACAAGTCCCTCCAGTAAACCACTGCGCGAGTTTTGTTTCCACAACAAGTCACCGCAATTTGATTTCTCGTTCTCATTTTATTACCAAATTCAAACCAGTTTGAAATTTTTGGAGTTGTTTTGGGCTCAAAATTCTGTCGCAGAGACGAGGATCTTCACAAACATTTCCCTGTGTCACACTGAGTTTATCGTGACCTTCCCGCGTCGTGTCATCGACGACTGTTGTTTGGTACATGAAAACTGTGGACTGGGGTCAACATTGTTGCCACTTAAACCTGGTCAGTCTCTTTAATCTCATTTTCCTTTTTCGCTTTTCTCAGGTTCAGGCAGAGTTGCACAAAGACCCTCATGTTAAACCAGACCAAGTGCCCATCAGTAGATCAGGCACTTGCCTCTCGTTGCACTCACGCCCCAGCAATCATGAAGCGCCGCCGTATCACGTCCATGGTCCAGGAGCCGTTAGTCCAGTCGCTACACCTGCCATTCCTGCTGGTATGTATTATTTACTCTTGTCGTCCGCTTTACTCTTCTCTTTTCACTGGATTTAAATGTTAATATAACACGGCACTTGTAGTTTTTTTTTCCCTTTTTTTTTTTTTTTTACTTTTTTTTTTCCCCTATATATTACACTTACATATGTACTTACACTATACTTGCTTCTTACACGATGTTTACACTACATTAACTTGCACTACTTACAATACATATATTACAATACAATTACACTAGTCAAATTGAATCACAGTTGACACGTCACTTTGTAGTTGCTTCTACAAACGTCAACATCAGCTGAATCGAAAGCACCCTGTTCAGAGAGCGGTCCTTCTTTTTCTGTGATGAGGTGATTTTCATTCGAACTCTTCGTGGGTAGCTTTAACTCCATTTCATATGACTTACCTTCCTTTACTCTTCACTTCTGTTCCTCTGCAGCTGCTGGTCCATTTCTGACAGGAACTCCCATTCCTACAGCCCACAGTACCAACCATGGTATCGCGCACCTCAGTGGGGGATCCGTAGGCATTCCGGCGGCCCCGCCTGCTATTATGGGACTTGGCGGTAGTCCCGTTGGGGGATTGAGATCGGGTCTCGGCGCATCTATTTCCAGTCCTTTTCGAAGCATCGGGAACAGTAGTTTCAGCGGACTGGGCAGCTCACTAGGCCTGGGTTCTAGCTTCAGCAGTGTTCATGGAGTGAAACCCGAGTGGAATCGTATGTCAAGCAGTCCAGCATCCTATCATTCCTGGCTGAGCCGTGAGACGGAACGAGAAAAAGAAAGAGAAAATGAGCGTGAAAGAGAGCGGGAACGTGATCGAGAACGCGAACGCGAACGCGAACGTGAACGTGACCGTGAACGTGACCGTAGTAGCGATCGAGATCAAGATAGAGATAAGGAGAGAGGGATACCCGATGCAAGGGACAGAGGAAACCTCCTGGCAGGAAAAATCCAGGAGAGGGAGCGTGCATCACTTCGTGTCTCTGACGAGGAAGGCGATAGTAGCCAAAGGCTTCGAGACAGAGATAAGCCCGTTGAAGGACGAAGATCGCCGATCAGACATTCTCACTCGACTGGTTTTAACATCGCCAGTCTGACAAGCACAGAACCTAAACCGGAAACGTCTTCTGCGCAGGAAATGCGCAGCTCGTTCGAGCGCGAGCGAAGCTTATCGACCTCTGCCACAGTCAGCAGTGTTCTTTCAAGTGGTAGGAGGGAAGAGCCCAAATTACCTGGTGACAGAAGATCTTCTGAGGATCACGATCTTGTTATTCTGTCAAGTGACAGACATAGTGGTGGCCATTCACATGGCGTCTTGAGTTTTATGGACAAACGGAGTATTTACGAGGACAGAGACAGACCTCGCGAACCATTCGACCTTGCTCGTTTTGCAGTACGCCCTCCGGTGCCGCACCGTATCGGTCTATACCCCCCACCTCATGCTCATCCCCACCCGTATTCCCTTCCCCACAGCCACGCTCATCCTCACATTGCCCCTCCCTCTCTCTTTGCACATGGAGGGTCCTTGGCGAACCCGTACCTCGGTGGTTCCGCCATGTCAGCAGTTACACACCCGCCAGCCATGCCGGGATTTCTTCCTCCACGTGGAATGCTGGGACTAACACTGCCTGGCTTGGGACCGCGAAGCAGAAGTCCTGGTGATGTGGTCGCTGCTGAGCACGCGCGAACTGCATCGGAAATTCTATTGGCTGCTGCTCCGGAAGGCAGACCATAAGCTACACGATGTACATAAAATGCAGTGGGGTGGGGTCGGGGCCTGTTTCGTTGTGGCTCCAAGACTACGTATGATATAAAATTTGTCAGTTTAAGTTAGGTTTATTCATGTAACATAGCGACTGCTGATGCGGGAAACGCCGTCATACTCTTTTACTTGTCTACTAATCGATGATCAGAGGTAGTCACCGAATTCACTCATATAGTATGACTATAGTTTGGAAAACGAGATATTAAGCGTATCATGAACATGTTTGGCTGATCTTTTAGACAAGTGGAAGATTATAATTCATATTCTTGTTATTTATGACTTGATAAAGCCGGAAACGCCAGCCCTTGCTCAGAAGTAATGTCGATACGACTTTTGATCAAGGGTTGGCCCCTCAAAAACCAGAATCGTTAATCTTTTAGGAGAGAAATTGTCGTTAGTAGATGAGGGTAATCTAAGCTCACCAGTGGTTGGCATTTATTGAGAAACTTCCAGAAATTTCCTTGTTCCTTTACATAATTGACACATATTTGAGAACGCCACAGAAGACGAAGGTAGATGTTTTGTTGCTGTTTATGATAGTTTTACAAAGTTACTAAGCACTTGGGTCGGGGAAAGCAGTTTCCTTTTCGTTAGTAATACGTCTCTCCAGGAAGTTTACAAGTCCTACTTATTTCCCGTTAGTATTTCAAAGATTTCTTGGACGGGTCCTCTTTTAAGTGCAAAGGTTAACTTCCTATTACGTGCTACCGTGACGGAGAGATTACTAAGCTGTGAGATCGGGTTGACCCGACTGCTATCACTTTGTAGCCATACAGACACGCTGAAAGATTTACAAAAACGAATATGAAGGGCATATGTGAATAAGCAACAGACCAAACTGGTTTTTTCCCCCGCGGCGTTGTATTTTAAATTCTTGCCATTTAAAGGCCTTTTGACTCTAGCACAGAGTTAATTTCAGCACATTGACCCCGTTTCTGCGGATTTCGTGTACCATTTGCAATTATTATCCAATTTTGCTGTAGAAAATTTTCTTGTGGAACATTCATTGCGACCCTTGCGCAGACTTATGTACATTTTGATAAATGTAGAACGCCGATACGATTATTTGTATTTTCCTCAAAAGTACTATGACAGAGAAAGAAAAATATAGAGGAAATCGATTTAAGTTTAAGCAATTCCCATATTTACAAGTGAGGAATTAAATTATTTGCCCTCCAATGTTAACTGTGTGAGATATATCTTGATATTGTCATCACTTTTTGTTACGTATGATAAGGTTCTGATTATGAGAAAGTACGTCGTTTGACTTATTATGAGGTTTGCAAATCTTCGCGCGAGATCGAGAGAAGGAACTTTGCTCGAACTGGGTAGTTAACTTGGGCCTATACACCTAGGTCCAGCTATTCAGCGGATGGATAGTGTTTTCCGTTAGATAAATCGCTATCCGCTGGAGTAGTGTTCACGAAACGTACCGGTTAATGTACCGGTTAATACACCGGTTAGCTGAGAAAATTTAACCTTAATTATGATGGAAATACATATGCGCTATTGACCAAGCGTGAGGTCGAGATGGTTGCACGTTGGCCGAGTTCTGTTCATGGGTTTTTATGAACAGAGAATTCAATAAAGGAGTCAAAAAAAAAAAAAGAAAAACGATTTCGATATAGTAAGAATCAAGAATGACATGTTTATTTCGAGAACCGGAAGAGAAAGCCGATTGTGTTTGTAGCACAATAAACTCACGAGAGCCGTGCGCGTTTCCTTTGTTTTGACTTTCTTCTGTCACTTTTTACGATTTCATCACCAACGTTGTCTAAATATTGCGAACTTTCTCAAGTCCGTTGCCCGCAAATTTTTGACTTGTGCGGGATGAGGGCGGGTAATCCCAAGCGGGCAAGATGGGCCCATCTTACCCGCTCGGGAAGCCAATCAGAATACAGTATTCGTTTCATGTTGCACACGAGCGCTACCGGCTGTGTAATTATTTCAAAATATTGCTAGTTTTTACAAGGGAATAATGGCGATGATCATGCTATGGAGATGCGACGGACAATCTTTGAACTGGCCTGGTAGAGTTAAAGTTGTGAACAACAAATACCACGTAACTTTAGAGTCTTGCCTTTTTGCTGATCATCGGCATTTCATCTTCTGCTAATTTTAGGTTCTTTTTCATTTAACCACTTTCCAGCTATATTAGGTTTTGATCATCGATCAGTTAAAAAGCGTTGATTAAATATAAGGTTGCTCACAGTGAGTAATTTGTGATCGTGTATCGTGTATTTTACTTTTGAATTTCGCACGCATTTTTGATTGGTTCTTTCCTTTTATCTATTGGAGGATAGAAGCATAGATTACGTCACCACTGACAAACTTTTTCGCTTCTTTGTTGTAGAAAACAAATAGATTCCATGTTGTCTAATAACACTTCAAAATGTGGTAAGAACAAAAAAGCGGCACATGAGGCGCAGCCGAGTGTGTCACTGATGTTTTTTTTACGTCATCTGTGATGTATTACTGAACAGGCGCAGGGAAACACGCAATTTATTTGTTAATTTGATTATATAAGCCCTTTTTAAAAAGCACCGCTAAGGAATCGAACATTTAAATACGTTCGATACGTCATTTTGTAGTCTTGTTAAAATACTTGTGATGCATCATTAATCACGAGTGCCATTCTCGATCATGTCTTTTTTCATAGACCTCCGTTGGTTGTGCGTGACCGAAACTTACACCACGTTTTCATGAAAACGCACGCAATCTTAAAGAAATAACTGATTAGTGATCACCTTAATGTATATGCATGACGTCTTACTCTTTTGGCCTTCTCATTTTCACAAATATTGGCAGTTACCTTTGGCAGTCACCGCACTGGTTGGCTACATTCCATTAGTTCGTGACAAAATTACGTAACGCAATGACCAAAACATTTTGATCACGTGATAAGATTTTGCAATCCCCGGATTTATGAATTAAAAATTTGGCGGCCATTCGTGTTAAGTACATGTCTACCAGTTGTGTCTAAGACAAAACTAAAGTTGGTTCGCTAGCAATAATCTATCGCCATGTTTTCCTTCAAGAAGAAGGACAAGGATAGGGAAAAAGTTATCGAGACGAAAGAAGAACGAAAGGAAAGGAGAAAAAAAGAGAAGGATAACAAAAACAAAACTGATCGCAAAGCTCATGGCGAACTTGGGAACATAGTTGCTGGCTCTGAGGAGGAGAGACGAGGGCGATTTAGTTTTAGAAAACAGGATAAACGAAGGTACGATGTTGAGCACGATTATGACCAAAGAAATCCATCGCCTGGAACTGAGCATCTTGATTTGTATGGCAGGAAAGGTCGTTCGAGTAGCACCGATACAACTGGTAGTACAACTAGCGGTTCGGCCATTCCTTCTCCATATTTGTACGGATCTTCTACTAATGTTTCATCTAACGCAGTTTTTTCCGAAGCGGTTCCACAAGCAAATCGTAGACATGTAGACGATGAAAAGCAAGAAGTTTCGGAAGTCGGGAAACCTGTCCCGAAACCACGAGTGAAGAGAAAGAAGAGCTCGAGTATTGAAATCAAGTTGCAAAGTCCGAACCGGCAGAGTTACGAGTCTCAAGATCGAGAAAAGACAACGAACGAGGAGGAGGGACGAAACCACAGAGCCGAAGTTAATGGCAATTCTTCAATTAATGCGAAGTCTTCTGATGAAGGTATATCTGCTTCGTCGATGAACGATAAGCATGTTTTGACCGATAGCGCTCCACCTAAACCTCCGCGTATTTTAGCGGATCGCGCTGGTGTGGTTGAGTTCGAAGTCAAGCTGATCAATGTTGGTTCCGAAAACGATCGAAACAAGGCTAATTCTCAACGATCCATGGAAGTTGATCGACCTATCACTGCTACAAGCTCTGTGCAGTCTTTCGCCGGTCCACCAAGCGATCCGAAAATTGTTTTGCCACCAAGAGATCTGAACGTTTCCTCGCCGTCGATTCTGTCTCCTACTGATAAAACTTTGGAGGAAATGGGGGTCGATTTGCAGCTACCGGAAGTGAAGCCAGCCATTTCTGGTATTGCAAGGGTGATAAAATTAAAAAGGCGCTCTAGCGGTGATTTTGGGTTTGCTCTGAGGAGAGCCAATGCCCCTGGAAGCGGAAAAACTGTTCACTTTGTGGAACCCGTTGGCCCAAATAGCACACCGGGTTTGCTACCAGGAGATCGACTCGTAGAAGTCAATGGAATCAACGTTGAAAATGAACCGAGAGAGAAGATTATCGAGATGATTGTTATGTCGGGAGAAGAGGTCGTTATTAAAGTTATCCCAGTACCGGAACTTTCAGAATTGAGCGTGAGAAGTGGTTTGGATGGATCGACTGTTCAACTTGACGAGTCGAATCTCAAGGCCGGAACTCTGGCTCGGAGTGGAAGCAAAAGAATTAAAAAGAAGGTGAGTACATTTCTTTAATTTAGTTCAAGTAAAATTGCTGATAATAGAATGTACTAATGGAGTTCTGAGGTAAATATGTTATAGCCTTCATTTGTGTACTTTGTTGCCTACGCTCTGTTGATATTCCTGTCAACTGTATTTCTGAATGCCAAGGTCGTTGATCGCTTGGAATTTAACCATGTGATAATTTGCATGTTCTGACTATTATGACAAAACATCCCAGCGGTCGATATTCCAATACCACATCCTGAAATAGTATTAGTAAAGCTCTGTTTAGTTTGAGGTATTCGCCGCTGATCTTGTTTGATTTTCACTGTTTGCAATGCATCAGTGGTTCAAATTTGCATTAGAATAGGTTTCCTTGTTAAAATTTTATTAGAGTTAATTACTGCATAGTGTAAAATGTATAGGACTTCCTTCATTTGACAAAGAATCACGTGAAATTAAGTCCGTGAGCTTTGTTCCCTGTTTTAAAAACATACCACTTTGACATGGAATAAACACGGCCTTGTCAAAACATGGATATTGCCCAGTACAAGATTCAGATCGCCAAGAAATATATTAAGTCTCTGTTTACAGGAGTTCTGCTAGGAATGTCACAGCATGAATATTCTTTTGGGCCAATTTGGGTTTTCGAATTTTACTTTGCTATCTTAAAATTAATTTAACCAACTAATCCAGAGGAAATTTTGTTCAAATTTTTTTGCTGCTGCTCTCAAATTGCTCTCTGTTGTTTTTGTCAACATTCTTAAGATATAGTAATTTTACAAGGTGTCTATTGTTTGAAAGAAAGTGAGTTTGATCAAGTTAAGGAATTAATTGCTTTTTTCTTGTGTGCATCCCTTAAGGCTGAGTGGATTAAAATGGAAAACCCCACTGTTTGATTTGATACATGCTAAGTGTTAATTATGATAATTTAGGTAATTCGGGAGTGATGTTTGCTATGACACAACTTTTTGTTGAAAATATTTCAAGAAATCAGAATAAGGGTATTAAGGATATACAATAAACCTTCTCAATTACTGTTAATTGCATTAATTCTTACATTCTTTTACTTAAGTATCTTATCATGGATTTGTATTAGGAAGAATTACATCCAATAGCTTTGCTTGTGACAGCTTCTGTTTGCATAATGGTGAAGCAGGAGGTGGAAAGGCTATAAATATTTCATAGATTCTAAATGATTTGGTGTTTACTATGCTGAAATTGAGATGCAGAACTATTAAGTATCTTGTGATGGAACCTCCCTTAAAATTTAAGGTTTGCTTGAATGTAATCGTTATCTTAATGTGATTGGAACATGATTTAGGATTTTGAGAGGTTTTTTTTTTCATTATCAACAGACATGTATGTGTAGTAGAACCACATTATTTATACCTTTTCTAATAGAAAGATGGGGTAATAACCTTGAGAAAGTGAGGAAGTTTTTAAAGTGATTCTTATCTTGGTGTTTTGTTTCAATTTGGAAGTTATGTTTATATGTTTTCCTGGATGAGTTATTTGATGTATGTAATGGATTGAAATATTAGTGTATGTTATGGCTACTGGTAGATTCTAAGTCGAAAAAATTCTCTAATGTCTCCACTTTAATCTCTTTTTACTTCCCAGCCCAAATCAGAGGAGGAGGTGAACTCACAGAAAGCTTGGTTAGATGCTGAGAAAGTGTGGGTTGTTCACAAGGCAGGGTTTTCCGGTGGAAGAGTACAGAAGATTAAAGAGCAGAGGCAAGAAGATGAAACCCCTATGTGTAAAGTGAAGTTAGATCACGGTGGTGAAATTATTTCTATT